AGAGTGTTGCTTCAATGCTCACAAGATGTCTTTCTCACCAGCCCTGCAGGAGTGGAGTGGCACAGTCTAAATTCAGATTGCAGTGATTAGACATTGTTGGAGTGTGTCTACGATGTGAGTTCATGGACTGCAGCATTTTCGACTCATTTAGATCAAAGTCTAAAATTCGTTGGGCTAGCGGTGTCAGGGGTGGATATTGTCAGTGAGCAGTCAGAAGGCTACTATTGTTGTCACAGCAAAATGGACCATAAATATGTTTCTGATCTAAGATAATGTACCTACCATGTGTGTGACAAGCACCAATTGAATTACCCTGCCCTTCAGAATAAGTTTCCTATTGTGATTGCAGTTTATCGATTGATTTTAGTTCATATCTATTGATCACATTTCACACATGTGTAGACAGAAAGACAGATAATCAGTAGTAGCAAAGCAAAAAATTACACAAATACAAAAAGTCTTATTACAAATTCTAGGTTTTCATCCCATAAAAAGGAATTCAGCAGGTTTGACACAGTAAACATGATGTAAATCAAGGTCATGATGAGTGATTCAGTGGCATAGATACTTTCTTCAAAAGAGCAATAATGATAACAAAGACTTTCTACAGATTTAACTTCAGTGAGAAGTTACTTAAAGCTAAAAGCAAATAGAGTGCAAATAATACAGTCAATACCCATTTCACTGTTTATTCTGATTCATAGGCTTCCTCTTGGAGCCTCGTCCATCACTGTCAAAAGCCAGTTAAATTGAAATGGATAAAATGTCACAATGACTGCGGTACAGTCATTGTCTATGTACATCCTCTCACTTGTTAACAGTTATTGAATATAACAATAGTAGCACAAGTAAAGTATATTGAGATGCCAGCTGCCCAGGCAATGAACCGTATGTCTTTATACAATGTGTGTTTTTGAACGGCAGATATAGAAAGCTAAACTATGTAATATTCAGGCTCATTGTTTTAACAGCTGAAAACAAAGTGACTATTAATGACCTGCAGTATTCAACTGGGAAAAAGACAAATAGCATGACCGATTCATGCAAGTAAAGGTTTTAAAGCTGCACTAATCAATATTTCTATATTAAAAATGGTTTTAATGATTATCTGTAATGTGAAATGTGTCACTTGTAGTGCTGAAACCACATGCATCACCCGACTCTGCAGTTCCCATCAGTTCTACGCTGCATTTCAGCTTCTGTCAGCTCGTTGTTTGTTTACGGCCGCATGCAGCAGGCAGCTATTTTCAGCAAAAAAGCTATAAACTCACTATTTACTACCTGCCCAGCAATGCAACAAACAGACAAAGTTGGCAACTAGCTGGTGAACACAGCGGAGCATTCAGCAGCTAACAATGAATTTAAGAAGGAGGAAGTCCACGCAAGGGTATCTAATACTTCAAACCAACACAGTTATTAAATGTCAGTTAACACAAAACAAACAGTGGAATGTGTATGTCGGCAACATGCTGTGGAATTGTTTAAGGTGCAAAACTCGAAGGCAACAATGCTGGGTGAATGTCTGCTGAGGAGACAGCGAACACATGGACCAGCTTTTATAGCCTGGAAGGTCCAAGTGAGCTTAATCAAGATAATGACCCTCAAATATCAGCCAACTGCCTGCCAAGGTTGACAGAGCAGCCTCCAGGACAGTGGGAGGGGCGTCACATGAGGCAGATATTTCTCTCAGGAGATAGTGGAGACCAAAACAGAGCTAACAAAAGAAGACTGTTACTGGTCACCAGGTGGCCTGAAACACAACGCCAGTGAATGCTAATGTTGCTCCGTAACTGCTGGATACTGAATTTGTTAACATCAAAATAATGCCATATCAACTTTATAAAGTGCAAAAATGTCTGTGATTTATATACAACTTATTCTGCCCCCAAATTGTATGGCAATTAATACAATTAAGAGTTGAAATAAAAGCTAATTTATTAATTATTCATCTTTTTGATTAATTAGGCAACTTTAAGCAGACAATATGGGCACAGAATAAGACTGCATCATTTCAGTGTAATCTCATGTACTGAAACATGTTTGCCTGTGTGATTAGAGAGGATTTACCCTTCACTTTCAGCCTTTTCATGATTACTTAAAGCCTCCCATTGAGCTTAATTTCCCCTGTAGCAAACCTCTTATCCACCATTACGTTCTTTTACCTCACATACAGCACGGACAGATATGCACAAAAACAAATAGATCTGTCAGCCTGTTCATTTGCATAGGTCAAAGCATTCAAGTGGGAAATAAAAAGAGGAAAAGATTAAAGTTACATCTGCATCTGCGGGCAATTACATCCTGTCAGCTAACGCGCTCACCTATGGTCCGTCGCCTGGGCATATCGGAGAATGTGCAGTTTAGGACTTGTAGGCATGGCAACATAGCTACAAAGTCAGATTCACTTTCACAGAAAACAATTAACAGTGACACTTATCCACATGTGAAGCATTTTCGCTGCACGGTGAACACATATTTCTCACCCACGTGCATTGTTCTGGTAAATCATTTTTTTCCCCGGCTTACAGCATCCTCCCTCGAACACTGTTGTCTTCCTGTTTATTGTAAATGAAGATTCATTTCATTGTTGGCAGGGTTTATGTTTATTTTCAACTGAGAAGTATAGCTGCTTGGACTATTCCCAGTTTACCTTTCTGTGTGTTGTCCCGTATGCCCTGCAGGTATTGACAGCTTCCCTTCAGCTACTTGTAGCTCACCTGCAGGAGAGAGAACAGAGAAAACCTCCTCTCTGGATCCTGAGGGGTGTTATTCTCACTTCTGACAAGCTGCTTCTTTTTGCCATGAGGTATTACAAACTCAGCTGATTCCCCTGATCACACCAAGACTTCTGCCAGGAATATGTTCCTCAATGTTTTATGTCTCAATGTCGAGCGCAGAAAATAATGACAAGACATGATAGGTTGCCTCTCAGAGCCTCCTCCCACAAGAGACGAAAATATGAGTTATAGAAGTAGAGAGGGAGCGAGAGAGATGTCGACGTTGATTTGATCTCAAGGAATTGTTCAACATATTTGGAAATATGCTTATTTGCTTTATTGTCGAGATTTAGATGAAAATATCTCTACCACTCTCATATCTGTAAACTAAATATGAATTTACCGCCAATAACTAGTTATGTTAGCGCATAAAGACTGGAAACGGGGGACACAGCCCTGCTGCTCTGCACTACAGTATCAGAATTAGCCTGCTATTGAGTCAGGACAGCGACTTTACAAACTGTTGTAAATACTTTTAATATGACCTACTACAAAAATGCTTAGCGTGTAAGTCTAAGGGCGTATAAGGGCTATGTCATGAAAAGGAGCCATACTTTGTGTGGCAGTAGATTAAGGTTTAATCATCGGATGGATCTTGCATTGGATCCCAAAACTACATTTAACATTTAAAAATTTTAGTTTTACAATCATCCTACCCATTAATGATATTAATTATTAAGTATGTGCGTAGCAGTTAAAAAATAAGTAACCTCCTTATTCCTCGCTTGTCATGGTCCCATGTATTTCCAATTGTTTTCATGGTAGATGCCCAGTAAGTATTTGTGTGCAGTAAACTTAAGCTTCACCTGAGCTACATACAGAGTTTATACCCAAATCTCAAGTCCCAAAGGATCTCTTTGCACTTAGTGTAGCAAAGCTAAAAGAACAGGAGAATGCCATTTCTAGACAAATTGCGAGTGTCAATACTGGATTTTGAAAAGCTGATGACACTGCATTGCTGGCTTTAAAAGTTAAATAATACCAATAATGTACGAAAGATGTGGAATATTTCAAAGTTTTTTTGAAAAGCAGACACTAAACTGTATTGCCTCATCTGGAGCTTCCTGTTAACATACAATGAGAGTTGGGAACTTTTGTTTTGAAAAAGAAAAAGAAAATAGCCTTTTCCTAAGTTCCCCATTAAGGCACAGTTACCTTCTCTGGCTATTATTTTGAAAGAACTAATTCCAACTAATTTCCTGTTAAGATACAGTGAGAGTTGGGCGAAACATGCCTCATCCTGAGCTTCCTGTTAAGATGTAGTTTATTTTATTTTGACGGGTTGGTGGTGGGGAGGGGGTGATGTGCTTTCAGCATTCACACCAATTAGAACAATTTAAAAAAAAACTACTAAAGAAATCTTTTCCTGGACACATTTTCACCCTTTTTTTTTTTTTTACAGTAAACCTTCTTTTCCCCCCACAAATAATACACATTGCCTTTTTGGTTTTTTTACATCATTTTTCATTTAAAAGACAAAATCTGATACTTCTGTAAGTTTAAAATGAAGAAGCTCTTCACAATGAAACCTCTTTTCATATGAATAAAATGTTCAGGACAGTTGCTCCAGAAGGTCAGAAGAGGTACTCATTAAAAATCTGTCTTTAATTCTCATATCAAGGCAAATGAAGATACTAAATCTCAAAGGGAAGACAGACATATTATCACTCCGGCTTCATCAAAATCAGGCCAGCTCTTCTCAGAGGTGTTGCGTGTGACTCATGCTCACACAGCTCCATCACTGTGGGATACGGTTGGATGTATGTTTTACTGCACATTTACAGGGAATATAATCTCGGCAGTGTACTTTGTGCCAACCTAAAAAATTGATGAAAAACCCTATTTCAAGTCATTTTGTGGCACAAGATGATGTTCTACATCAACAAGGGTGATAAATGTATGTATGATAATAGAATATTAAGCAAATATACACACAGATTCCCTATCTACAGCCTTTTAAAAGCTGAAAGAAATGTTTGTAGCGAGCACTCACCAATCAGTACGAGAGGTCATCTAAAAGCATAAGTAATGTGCATGGGAATACTGTTTTGTTGTATTGCTTTCATTCAAAAGTTTGAGCATGCAGAGGCGCTCTTATTGCATATATTAAGACGTGTTAGTGAGGGAGGTCCTTTTGATGAAAGTGGGTTTCCATGTATATTTAATGCCATGGTTTGCCGAGCTCTGCTTGAATGTGGATGGTAATGAGGACTGACATGTTGAAAACAGGCTGTGCCACTCGTCTCCTCCCCAGGTGCACACAACAGTTGGAGCAGAAAGCAGCCCCGTTTCTCTGCTTCTGCCCTTGCATTTGTCATTACAAACTGACACCGCTTCCGTGACTCTATTTTGTAAATGCTTTGTGTGTGTGTGTGTGTGTGCGTGTACATCAGTCTGTATTGCTCAATAAAAGGTAATTTTAACAGCCATATCTATGGTGGCCTTGAGAGTTCAACACACTGCAACTAAAACGCAAATAGAAAAAAACAAATGCAAATTAAGAAAACATAATCAGCTTGACAAGCTATCAATTAACTTTGTTGCCTTGCAGATATGGAGAAAATACTACCAATGCAGAAACACACTTGGAACACCTCTCAACCATGTTGGAGAATTAGCCAGCAATTTAAGTTTATTTCAGTTTGAACTTTCTGAATGATTGATCTATAGTGTATATAGTGCACATTGAAAAGCCGTTCACACTACTGCATGTCTACATGAAAGGCGATACAGCAGCTCTGCAAACGTGCTGCTCACGCCACACCTCCTGTGGAAGACGCGGTGAAAATCATGAGTAACTACATCATCGCGTGCATGGGTACCTTCATCAGTTTTAATTGTCACCTGGAAACTTGTTTTATAACTCAGTTCTCTGCAACTTGTAACATTTCTATATTTGGTTGTGTTGTCTGACTTTGCAGTGCATTCCGTTACGCTGTAGACCGGTGAAGAGGTTTTCTACCTTTGCTTGAGTTTTGTGTATTTGCATATGTCTGAAGATGCAGTGCATTGAACACCCAGCGCCAACGTACACATTCAAAATGTTTGACATTCAAAAATATATTTGGGATTGATACCAAGTTCAAATTCTTTTAATTTCAATGGTAGGGCAAACCTTTTTGTTAAGATTTGAACAGAAAAAAACACTTGCACTCAGTAGTTTACATCAGTTATTTTACTGTTACATATTACAAATAATCAAAATATTTAAATGTAGAAAATAATCTATAATTTTCAGATTTATTCCAACATTTTCCCACAACTGTTCCGCTGAATCGCATAGTCAACCTACAAACCTGAGACACTAAATAAAAATAATTACAGCAGGGACAGGTTCAGAGAACTTGCTACACAGTAGCAATTATGAACAAAGTACAAAAAACATATTGGACCCATTACATCTTTTAAGTCAACGGAAATCTGACCGTACTATATTTACCACAAAATATACCTAATATACTACCTTGTCAAATCTGCAAAATATCCGCCAACTATGGCTGATCCTGTAGGCAAAATAAAATGTTTAACATTTACGATGTGATGTCGACTCGGCTCATCAGAGGACATCGTGTTCAACAATGCACTGCTCTTCTGTCAGACTCCTAATTCTTATCCTTTCACACACATGTGCACACAAAAAAAAAACAAATTCATCTTTTCAGTCCAGTGTTAAGGATTTGCTAAAGAGCACGTTTGTGATGAACCATTTCTGTCCAGTGCATTTCTGCAGAGCCAGTTGGTAGCCAAACTCATTGTCGCTGCTCACTACAAGCTCTAGGCATCTCTTTGATTTCCTGTTCTGAATGGATCCTCCCTGAAAAGATAAAAGCAGGATGGTGAAAATTGTGCGGGCCTTGAGAGAACAATTTTTGTGCACAATATAACTTTCCTTCTTTAAACCCACACTACTGTGAATGGATATGGATGTGTGCTGCTGAAGCGCCCTGAGCACTGAGCATTTTGGCTGAATCACACTACCGTCCTCATTGGGCCCACCAGATAGCATCAACAAGGTTTCAAGGCAAAAACAACATTGCAATTGCCAGTGTAGTCATTAGCGTTCTTCCTAGCAAGGGCCAAGTTTTTTCAAGACTACACCGCAGAAAAGAGGAAAGCCAGACACAAACAAACCAAACAGACAAAATCATCTGGTATTGAGGTGGAAGATAAATTGAAACAGAGGCATGCAGGACATGACAATTTCAGTTCTAAAGCCGTTACGATATTGTTTAAATCTTTCAAAATGTACAAACTTTATTGTATCAGCTATTGCCAGAGTCTGAATAGAGCGAGCACATTAGCTCTGCAGAAATATTCCAGCATGCCCCGACGAATGAGGCAGAATTATCTCATTACGGTGTCAGGGCAGACCAAGGGCAAGCGACTGAAGAGGAGACTTTCAACAGTCAATACAATGTGGAGAGCTGCGAGGAGAGCGCCAGGATTTCCAATGCTGAGGGATTTGGGAGTAAAAAGACCTTAAGATTGGACAGGTTGTACAGACTGAACCAAATTACTCTTTGGCCTGAGTTTGGCCCGTGTGTGGGGTCCAAGAGACATTTTCTTTTATAGATAACAGATGGTAATAACTGCTGAAAGTGGGCATTTATGGACCAATATGTAGTGGTGTCCTGAGCCAGCCCATAAAAGCAGTGAACCAGTGAATCAAGGATTTTTATTTAACTTAATGAATCAGCTACAAAAGCCAGATTTGTTTCAGACCCCCGCTCTAGGTTACACCAGCTTCAGCCGTGAACTGCAGAGATTATTAAATTATTACACTCGATGATGTTTTAACATTTGAACCATCTCCATGACAACTGAGCTGAGCTGGACTCCAAACTCCAGCTGAAAACGTTGGAAACAACATTTAACATTATTTTGCTTAACTGCTGTTTGCAGGATCTACAATTTACCTTTGAGCTCAACCATTATGTAAAAGAACATGAAAAAGAACACAATATATTTATTTTTATTTCTGCCTTTTAGGTTTTAACTTTAGAGCAGAAATTAGGAAATAGTTTTACACAATTTTAAAACATTGTTTCAACAGTTTGACGCAGACACATGCTCCACAGCCAAGTCTTCCAAGGCTGGATCAGATCTTGGCAGTGTGCACTACAAAAGAGTGCTTTAGCCCAGAAACACTTTAAACCACCTGTTTAAACCCTATTTAGAAATGGTCTCAAACTCTTGGTTGGTGCGTCCTTGGTTATGAGGGCTCTCGGGTGCTTTGTATACCTCAGCATACCTGCTTGCAGATTTAATTGTTACAGTTGTCTTATAGTAACTATTTGTTTTGATATTCAGGTAAGAAACCTATATCAAAAAATGTCGACCTTTAGGAATAATTAAAGCTTTGACCAGCCTGTTTTTTTTCCACTGATGGTGTTACGGCCTGAGTGACCAACAGTAGTAATAATAAATACTAGTATATATACTACAGCAGACAAAACCAGGTAACATCTTAGTCTTATGCAACAATACATTTCAAATACAGAATGAATGTACAGGCCAGGTGTTGGCTGCAGAATCCCATAGGCTGCACCAAATGGCTTATTTAGAGGAGAGTTTTTGGGGTCTATTGAGTTATCGGGCTGAATAATTAGGCTCAATTGTCATTCAGTTTCACTTTAACTCGATCTTAGAAATGTGCACAGATTTGAGTTTGACAGTCTATAGCTTCTGTACCTCAGTTAAGTCTGATACCAGGTGAGGAGTATTTTCTTCTCTAACTTGAATTCAGTCGAACATTTTAATCATGTTAGCTGATTTCTTTGTCGGCCAGGACAAGTCACCTATCGTTCTGTGGACTTCATTTTTTAGACAGTGATGCAGCGGTAGAAGTTGCTAAGAGCAGTTTATTTCAATCCATGGATGTAGCAATTTTTCTGGCTCTTTCACAGAGGGATGATGATTCCTTTCTTAATCCTGCCTACAAAGCTCTGATTGGCCGATTGTTTGTTTCTCAATCCTGCTGAAATTCCATCAACACAACACTGGACCTATTTGAATGTCTGAACAAATCAAAGATGTGGGTGGTGATTCAGAGGCCTGGAGCGAGGCCAAACTCAAACCCAGAATCCCTGCATACATGGAACGTAACTGACAGAAGAAGCTGCTGGGTTTCACTCAGCCAAGCCGATGAATGTATATGTGAGCAAATAGCACGTGGGGAGGTTGTTATTTGATTTAGGGTCCTATGGTTTGCTAGGGATTTAATTATATGCTATATACAGAACAATCTGTATTTGTTACAGAAAAATATAAATGTATCACCCACACATACCCTCAAAACACACAAGCAGGACAAACCATACAGTCCCACCCACTGAACATGTGCTTGCTTTATTAGTCAGCCCCTACCAATATGACAAATCTATACATGCAAGCACATATTTCATTTCTCTCACAAATCAAGGTTTATCAAGATCACTTATTCTTGGATAATGAGAGGTTTTTACAGTGGATGGAGGAAGTGAAGTAATTTTGCAAATTTCACTGAGAAAATATTAAGAATATCTTCACTTAATCCGGTTTTGTGCAACATTTGAATGAAAAAAACAAAAAATGTCTCATATTTGTACAGTGCCCCGTTCCCCAAAGTTGCTATGGCTGCATCAGGAAATCAATTTCAGCTTGAGCTTGACGCTTTGCACATGTGCAGTCAAAACTGTCAATAATTGATGCCATATTTCAGGGACTTGATCTCCAGCTTTGCTGACATGTCCCCATCCTGCGTACTAAATATTGCAAAGTTCACTAAAATAACCACTTAAAGTTCAGTGTGAGGATATGTGATGTATGAGCTCAAGCATTATAAAAACTTCTCCCACTTTCACACCGACATGCTGTAAAACCAAACACATGCACTTGTAGCGGCAGTCCAGCAGTGACATAGTCATAAAAATGATTTTACTGGTTATAACAAGCATCTAATATGAAGCATATTTGGGATTTTATGCATATTTGACTGAAAGAGGAATAAATGCTATAATTAACACTGTACTGACAGCATGGCAGACAACAATATGAGATCTATTGAGCCCAAATCCAAGCATGCAGTAAATCCAATTCACCCGCTGTCATGGGGCATTTTGTGAGGTGGCTGCTTGTTCTGTTAAAACACATTTTGCAAGCACAGCTAATGAAGGACGACAATCATTAAGTTTCAATGACTGTTCATGTGTAAATGAGTTAGAGAACTGAGGCATCAAACAGTAAATTAAACCACTTGCATGATTAAACGCTACCTCCACAGTTGTTTTTTCCTGTCACGTCCAACAAATGACCTTAACTGAGGTTAACTGAGTATGAACAGAAAGCTGCACGTTAACCTTGTGTTTTCTGACCATGTGTGAAGGCTGTATTAAGGGGTGTCACCTGAGTGAAGAGCCAGTGGAGCTTCATGCGTTTGGCGGTGGCATAGCTGCACTCGATGAGGCGCGGCCTGCTGTTCACGTCCACCAGGCACTTGTTGTCGTCATCGTCAACTGTTGGACTGAGGAGCCCGATGTGGAGCTGCTGAGTACTGGTGTAGTACACATTCTGCAAGAAACAGCACATCCTGCTACAAACAAACTGCTAAGTGCTGTACTGTAGGCTGAGACTGCTGTGGTTGACATTTCGATAATGGTCCCTGCAGAGCTGTATAAGACCATACAGGTAATAAACTATGCAGCAAATGAGGATTGCATTTGGGTTGTCTTTGGGTAGGAAAGAGACATTTATAGACTAAATATGCATATTTATATAGTTATCCTGAATGAATGGAGGACAAGAAAAAGCCAAGCACACAAAAGAAGCTCATTATTAATTCAGTAATGGTGAGAAAACCCGAATAATTGTGCCCCTCTCTTGCTCATATTTACGTAGCTGACAAAAACGGAAAATCATTTTCAGGAATTTGGCAGGAGAAGAATTTTCTGTATTCAAAAAGGGAAAAAAAGGCTTTGCAGAATGAGCATGAGAGAGGGAAGAGAGAGGGAATCTGTGGATTGTATTTACAGATAGAGCAGTGCTCAGAGTCTGTTGGCGTAACGCTGGCTTTAGTTTGTTGTAGTGCACACAGAGTGACAAACTAGAGGTCGTGAAAAAACAAGGATGGACTGCATGAGATTGCTAAATTGTGCATCTTACAGAGGTGGAAAGTAAACTGAATATACTCCAGGGCTGCAATTAAATAATTTTGAGATACTTCTACGAAGTAAACACTACAGATTAACAGCTATTGAAGGAGTTCGATTCATATCGGAGCAGACAAACAGGGACTTATGTCTGTAGAAGTCTATATATTTCCTTAGCTTGTCTCTGAACTTGAACACCTTGATTAGCTCTCAAAGCACCCCAAGATATGTTCTTTTATAAAAAAAATTAAAAAAGAATCAGGGTCATGTTTGCTTATTCTGCTGCTTGTCTGATTTTCACTCTTATCCTTCTCTTAGTCTTATCTCATATCGCCCAAACAGCCTCCTGCCTCCTTCACACCAGACGTTAAACAGTCTGACGAGTGTGAATTTTTTATTTGTGCTGCTCATTTTGGGAGCCGCGCAGACTGCCAGGCCGTGTGTGGCTGTGCTTTCTATTGTTGCCGTGCTTAAGTCGGTATATTTTATTACCGCTTGAGCTGAAGTGTTGTACTGTATGTTTGCTGACAACATGCTCTTGTAAAGTCAGTCACGTGTTGGATTGTAAGCTTTGGAATACGCTTTCCTTTCATGTGTCGCTGTGCAATTTTCTTTCAGCACGTTGATGTACTGCATTTACAGCAGCATCTGGGATACAATGATACAACTCTCCCAAAGCAACTCAGTGACATTTTGAATGACTACAGCAGACATTCGCTAAGTACATGTGTCATTCTAGAGGCAATCCGGGGTCAAATTCCTCTCCATGATGTAACGCTGAAACATAAAAATAGAGCAGACTAGATTTGTCTTGCAGAGGAGATCCCTAATCTCATTGGGAATGCTGGTGCTACTCCAATCCATTGTTTGAAATGCCTGGATTTATGAGAGATTTATAGCATATAACAGATTTATAATTAGCAAGTTTTAAAGTTATCTAGGTCTCCGACTGTAGAAGTTGAGTTTTTAAAGGAAAAAGTGTTACTGAGATTCTACAAGATTATACAGATTTCTCATGAATCCGTTTTAATTTGCACTGTGGTGAAAACATCAATACCAGGTGTAATGAGTGTGAAACTTCTGAGGGATAATGTAAGTCAAGCCTCACACTATAAGACAAGTTTACAAGTGTCACGGAAAGGTTAAACAATCTCTAAAAACAATCTTCTCAGACATAATGGGATGGAGGAATCGATTGGAGCTGGAGACGCTGGAGAAGGTAAATGATCAAGCTGTGCTAACATTTGTAGACACTCACTGCCTATTATCTTGGGCTGGGATAATGTCCTGAACAAGTAGTCCAGGGATACGGTTTTCAAGACAGTGACTGATGAAAAACAAAAGCAAGCGGTTGAAATGATCCTGAAGTCTATCAAAGATGTAAGAAAGCTGGAGACAGTGATGAATGTTCAGGTACAATCTAACTTAATAAAAAAAACAAAAACAGGATTTTACATTGTGTTTTGTCAATAACGTGGCATTTTACTCTGAGCTGGACTCAGTTAGGACATGTCAGCCCTAAATGGAGGTGTATGAAAACTGGAGTTTAATATATAACAGGAGTGTTTCTGTAAAGGGCAAAATAGAAAACCTGATCCTGTTTTATGAGGTAAAGCTACTGAGTTTGACCCAATCTGAAAGCAGAAGAAGGTTATTTTTCTTCAAAATGAAACGGGTTTTATTGAGTAAGAAAATACCGAGATGGAAATAAAATATAGAGGTGGTATATTAAATCTTTATGCTGCCCGTTGCTTAAAACAGTGGTGCGGAGATAGAGGGCTCTAACCTGAGGTGTCATCCCGTGACAGAGATACAAGATGGGGACATTGTCATTGTCGGGCCCCTGGTCCAGACACAGATCATTCTTCAGAGAGTTTTTCAACTGGAAGACAAAGAAAAACACATACATTCACAAACACAGATAAATAAACAAAGAAACAAAATATATGAATTGTCTAGGGGTAAAATCAATGACATGACAGTGTTTGCATGAACAAACTAACCCAGACATTATTCACAATCAGGTCAGTATTGCTACTGTGAATAAGGGTTTCTAACTTTGAGGATGCACCAGTGAGAGCTTCAATTTAAGTCCATCACAGCTGGAACATGTTGCATGACTCCTCTCCTGCAGAATTTATTCAATAAAGAGGACTTCTTTCAAAGGACTCTGTTTCTGTTTATAACTGCTCTCAAAACAGGATATATTGAGAACAGATGAGACATTTCAGATGTCTTAAAGGCCCTGAAACCTTTTTTCTTTCTCAATCTGCTTGTTACTATAAATGATGAGGTCCTATACATGAACACACTGTTTTCTGCTAAAGTCGTGACAGTTTGGGATATTTCATAAGATAGACCCACCCACACAATCCTGACGAAGCAGATTAGCTGAGTTTTTGATTCTTTAACTCTTGCTAAATAATAAGATTTTGTTTTCTTTTCTTGTTAAATTAATTATTCATGAACATTTAATGTTTTAAGATTTAACAAGAAAGATTTCTTCAGGGGCTTTAAGACTGTTAAATTAGTTAGTTAACCATAAGTTCTGAGAGATGAAAGATTCATACTTTGAGTTTATACTATATACTGTGTTTAAAGAATACAGAATGTGTTGCTTTCAATAGAAAGATGGATGTTCAACCTTTTTACCCATTGATGGGTTAATCCATTGTTAAGGATACTAAGATTATCTTGAGAAGATGTCTGTAATATTATGTATTTTTGTATTCATGGTCATCTATCACGAGTTCATGCAGTATTTTCTGTTAAAACATGTGATATTGTCTTGAATGCTTAGTATTGATGGTGATCTTTAAGTCACATGATTCAATGTTTCATAAGGAAACTGACAACAACCTTAGACACCGTCTTGATGAAGAACAAAAAAGCTGGAAATGTTTTGTGAGGCGAATAAAACATTGTGTACTAGACTATGAATAATGTTAACAGATAATTCCTGTGTGGTGTCCAGCTCGCTGCCAAAACACAGTGAGAGTGAGGAAGCAGCATCTACAACCTGCTCTCTTCAACTCTGCAGTAAATTATTTCCTCTACAGGGGAAACTATTATTCCAACATAAAGCACAGCCTGCTGCGGTGCCGTGCTTGATATCCTTGATATGGAAATGTATTCACATGGTTGAATGAGTTTGGACAGGTGTTTCAAAACAAAAAAGCAAAAAGAATGATCATCTAATACCAGCGTCCGCCTGGTATATTCTCTGAGTTTCACATAAAGAGAATATAAATATTAAAGGCTATTTTGAGAAAATACAGAAGAAGCCTGAGCCGGTTGAAAACGTGAATAAACACTGAATCCTCTTAAATTCAGTTTTGCTTTATGAAAATGTAAATCTGAAGCGTTACGCTTGATGAACATGACTCAGACTTTGAGGCCCAGAGGGTTATCCATGCGCATCATGACAAAGGTCTGCCTGATTGTGAGTTGCAAACTGCTCTGCAGGGAGCTCCAGGGATAGTGGTTTTGCGTGGGGAGTGAATTAGGTAAAGATGTGAGATCAGACAAACACAGCTATGGGAAGATTCAGCTCCCCATTGGTTCAGGAGATATCTACTTCTATCTAATGATCAGTAAAATCTACAGGCAGCTCAGGTCTACCAGTGGAGATATATTAAATATGCAACAGAGACACCTGTGGGGACAACATCAGCTTTAAGTAGAATGGCATTAAGAGCATCTTTAGTTTCTGTAATGTGTGATGTGTGTCTGACTGAGACGTGATATCCTTCAGAATCGATTGCACTGCTCTATGTGGGCATGGCTCAGCGAATACGGAGCCATACAGAGCTGCAGAGGGAAGTTGGCCTCCACCTGCACCTCGTTTCATCCACATTTTTAGATCAGGAGGAGGAAGACAGAGATATGAATAAATTAGACCTCAAAACATTCCTCGGAAATGTCAAAGTTTTTGCACAAAAAAAAAAAAAGAGGCTTGGCATGTAACGACTCTTCAAACCACCACGACTGACTTAGCCGTCAAATGCATGTCGCAAATATAGAATAATGAGGTCAACTTACTCGAGGAAATTAATGTAATGAGGACGGTCTATTTCCTCGCCATATTCATGCACCATTTGTCAGTTTGTAATAAAAAAATCCTCCATACAACATAGAAAGCAGTGCCATAATATTGCGGTCTGTTTGTCACTGTGTATTAGGGTTAACCACAGTGATGTGAGGTGGGAGGACAGTGGAAATAAAGCTGTATGAGAACAACTAGGAATGGGCAAAAAGAAACACTGCCAACCCCCATTGGCTGTCACTTTTTCGAGCGTCTCTCACTAATAAAATTCAGCTGCAAAGCCCTCAAGTGGGAAATACTACATCTATATTTAAATGAATCTATATGTGTCTATTTTCATAACAGTAAGCTAACAGAAAATTATTACTCTGTAACTTCTGAATTGAGAAGGAAAGAGTGAAAGTTGCTGCAGCAAACCTCCTCTTTGTGTGAACTGTTTGTGCTCCTGACAGCAGCCATCCGGATCCCAACACAAGGGATTAAAAGTATTTGCTCAGGCACGGTTTAGACTTGTTTTGGCTTTTGCAGACGCTGGATTGCATTTGGGATGAAGAGGCAGGCGGCTTACTACTCCATATGCGATGGTGTCACTGTACATCCTCATCTCAGGGTAGATGTTGACCAGGTACCATCGGAAGGTTTTACACTGCAGCCTCTTCCTCAGTGCCTTCCTCTCAGAGATATCGCCAATATCAATGCCCGGGTCCTGGGTTCAAGCAAGCAAACACACACACACACACACACACACACACACACACACACACACACACAAAGACACACGGATTGAATCACACAGATGCACACAAAGCATACAATTGATTAACTTTAGCTAGTGGAGAAGCAAATCAGTAAATGGGCCATTGAGAATCATTGTGCAGCCGTTTGTTGTGGATTTGAAAAGCTTCTGCAGGGTTTTGATTTTTTCCTGGTCCGATTTAAAAAAACAACAACCGAACTATTCCAGTGTTGCAGTTTTTCCCTCCACTACATTTATCTGATGACTATAGTTACTGGTTATGTTTCAGATTAATATTGTACATAGAAAAACATGCATATAATCTTAAAGAATACGATACACTGTTTAGATTAAAATATCCCATCTAAACTTTTCAAATAATTTCACATGCACAACTGTTTGAGGCCGAAAGAGGGAAAAAAAAATATATAATTTCAGATTTGTGTATCAGAACTTATTTTCACCATCTCACAAGCCCTCGGATTCATCTTGGGACCCTTTGGAGGGGCCTAACAACGGCCTCAGAAACTAAACTACCCATAGAAATAGAATGAGAGTAGTGTGAACATTTCCATTTCCATCAGCATTGCAGGATGTTCAAAGCAGCAGCCATTTTGATGTTTACCGTTGCCATTGCAGCGGGCTGACTTCTTTAAAAGCCTTAATTGCGGAAAGTCACGGACTCCCCAAGGACCATAAATGCAGTGGAGTAGTATGAAGCATGGAGAGGCGTGTTTTGGGCACTACCTCCGTTGCTTCTCTGCTAGAGAGGAATTTGTAACACACCAGGACACACACATGTTGATAACTGCATGTGATTGTAGGCCCAGGCTACATGATGAGCATCAACAAGAGACAGAAAAAAGGAAAACGCTGGGCTTAGTGTGGAAGGCAGGCCAAAAGGGAGATCTCAAACTAGTGAGTGTAAAACACTTCACGGGCCCGCTGACATTTGTTGTCAGCACAATAACTGACAACAATCGTCATTTTGTTTTGAACTAGTCAAATGACCAGAGCAAGCAGTTCAATGTCCCTTCTACTCTCATTCTATTTCTATGAAACTACCAAACCGTATGTAAAGTGACAACAGTAAAATGCTTCTAACACATTGATGCACCAGCGTACTCCACTAACATCATGCATAATATACAGTATCAGTCAGAGGGGCACATTTTATCCAAAATGAGTAATTGTGCTTTTGATACCTCAAGTACATTTAGCTCCGAATGTACTTCTACTTGAGGAGGAAACGCAATGCAGAATTTTGAAAAGCGGGTACTTAAGTTAAGGATCTGAGTACTTTTTCCACCAATGCATGTTATCATCTACCCCATGTTGAACGCTGTATCATCATCAACATCACGGATGCCTCTTTCGTAACTCAAAAGCTAAAGTGGGAGAAATGTTGCTGATTTGGCTTTCTGGTACTCCAAAGAAAAAGTGTACTCAGATGGACTTCATCTGAGCACGGTGTTGACTTTTACACTCTCAGAGGTAAATTAACACTGACAATTTAGCAGTGAAGTTAATTCAGGGGGTTAAAGCTGGGGCTAAATTTCATGCTTCTTGAGTACAGACTCTGTTAAACGCCTCATTATTGACTGAATGAATTGCCTGCAGATGTTCATCTATTCATAACGTGGATTTACATATTCAAACTGATTATGCAGGAGAAGAAAAAAGCTTCAGTGAGCAAACATTTAACTTGGCCTTTGAGGGATGCAACTTTAACGTAAAATGACAAAGTATGGTTATTTACTTTAATTTACTGAATCCAGTTCAAGATTAAATGAAAATCTGTCTCACAAAACACAGATATTTAACACTAATACAACCTTAAAAACACAAGGCAGCGTGCAGCATATACGTTTTGTGTCAGTTAGACTCATGCAAACTGTGAGACATTTTGTACTTTATTTGTTGACACTGCAGATGTCTTTATTCAACATCTCAAATAACACAAGGCCTCAATTAAAAAGATTTAAAAGAATGAAGTAATTGTTGAAAAATACATAATTTAATAAAATTAATTATGTACATTTTCTTTTTTCTCTCTGTATTATTTATAATTTTGCTACCAAGTCACAGCTGTAATCCAGATCCTTTAATTCATCTTTTAAAATGTTATTGTCGTCCTTTGTATCGAATTTTCTAACTGCTGATGTCTCCATTTAGAACATTTTATTAAATCACATTACGTATTAATATATTCTGTGGCACGTATTTAATTGAGGAATTTCTGTATGTATCACGAAATAATTTAAATTGAGCCTTCTGGAGGTGTCAGGGGCCTGATTCAACTAAACATCTGTGATGCAGGAGAGCAGCTGATAACAGATGACACTCAACCCCCTGACATTTAGATTAGGCGGCTGCAGAATGGAGCTGCCTGTTGGTGCCATATATTTATCATCTGTATTCATATTTGTGGGTTTGTGCATTCTTTTTTAACATCTGACTTGGACTTCTGTGTGAATGCTACCTGTGAATAATGATTCAAAAGGCAGCAAACACCAAATCCTGTGTCTAGGTGATATAGAAAACCTACTCTGCCTTCTGTCAATTAAGCCTGCAGCCAGTTTATGGCTGACATCTGACATTTGAAAAATGTGACACATGTACATACTGAGGATTGTGTTCATGCAGTTCAGCACATACGATTGTACCTCAGCTGACAATAAAACTGCAAAGCTGAAAGAACATCATGATGAGGACAGCTAAAGATGGATTTCTGCTTTACAAAACAAACGTTCAGCACTTTGAGGGTACATTTTGCTCTTCAGTTACACAGATGAAGTCGTGTGGTTTCGGTTTTGACCTCTTGTCAAAAAAAAAAAAAAAAAAAAAAAAATCACACTTTTTAGCACTTTTTAGATTGATTTAATGTAATAAACTGACTTTTACCCAGATTTTATGTCCCTGCACATCCAATCATGTCCTACTCTCATAAGGCCCTGCAGTAAAAAAGGTCCTTTAGTAGCGACCACAGCTCAGAATTCATTAATACAGATAAACTGAGGGAATCTGTTAGTGGCCTCGTGGTTAAGATGCATGCCACATTACGTCAATGTCTCCCTCTCCATTTCCTGTCAGCATATCTACTGCAACCCATCTAGTCGAGGCCAAAAGGTAAAAACATTTCTGCAAAAAAAATGTTGAATGGAAATGAGCTGCTGATTATACATCAGAGTCCCTCAAATGAAAAAAAAATACAACTGCTGAGTGATTGTACTGCAAATGCTAGTGTTTCTTTGTATGAATGAAAATTTCATCAGAAATTCACACGTTAGAGTTAAAAAAATACACAAATACAGTCACATATTTCTAAAACAGAAACACTACGATAATGACACCTTTGTGTTGTAGATGACTACACACAGATAAAAGCTGTATTGTGACAACAATGTGCTACAATGTGGAACTCAACAAAGTTAATACATAAGATATGTCACTTGCACTAATTAGAAAAACAACATGAGTAACTCACCTCCATGGGAATATTCCAGGCCATGTAGACGTGGCTTTTAAACTCATCCATCCACACTTCTGCAACTCTCAGGGCGTTTCGCCGCACGTGAGACGTCAGATCGTCCGTGTAGGGTTTATGAGCACGCTCTATGTGGGCGATGCGAGCACAAGGCAGAACCTCAACACTGCCGCCACACTGCCAAACCTGGTTTCAGACATTACAAATACAAAGAAAGGAGAATGTTGTCATTCATCTATGAGTCTGCTTCAGGAAATCAAAAAGTCACATTACATACACACACACAGACTTAAAAACAGACTGAGGTTTGAGAGCATTTAGGAGGGCCACGATGGCATCACTTCTAGGCGGCTTAAAGCACGTTTTGGCCAACAAGCGGAGGCCCTTCATTATCACCTCTGCAGCCTACTGTATCCTTGACTGTGAGGAGGGAGTCCGTGTGGTGGGAAATGTTAATGTCCCAGTTCACAGGAGGAGCAGACCGAGTGCATAAAAGCCAGTGGCACTGGCTTTTATGCACCTCATATAATGAAGACCTCTGGGAGGATCTAGATCCTGGTGCAGGGATCTCTGCAAGCTCTTCCTGAAAGTAATACATCTATCCAACAAATGGTGAGAATAAAAGACTCTCATGACGACTCAATACAAAATTTTGTAAATGTATTTTGTGTGTATGCGATGACACTTTTCTTTTGTGGCATCATAAGATGTGTAATGTTCTCTTATGTATTCTTTAACAGGCCTAATTGCCCATATCAGTTATTAACATTTCAAATTATTGTGTCATCTTTTGATTAACAGTAATGCATCAAAAAGGATGTGAATTTCTGAGTTACAAAAACTTTGAAGAGAACTATTTGAGAAAGCTCGAAGGGAAATGAATTACGAAATGAATTAGGCCGCACAATGCTGCTGATTAGTATCTGAAGGATTTGAATGGTATCGCAAAGCAATTCAAAGACTCAGCAGAAGCAATGGAGATGTGCTCCTCTATTTACATGCTCTCATTTGTATGGGGTCATCAAAGGAGATGTCACTACCAGAGTCTGTGGAGGATCCTCAGAAACCACTTCAATGTGCTGAGCTTAACATTAGTCCGGGACACCCGGAGTTTCAGTATGAATAAGGTTAAAATCATCCCACTGTGCTGCTCGGTGAGGATCATCTTGTGCAGCTGACATCCTACGTGTTTAAGCAAAAAGTGTAATTTCCATCAAAGAACCTGCTGCCAAAGAACATATACAGTGTTTGGTGCAGATGAGCATCATTAAGGATGATGCGACATGTGGATGTGATCGGTACACCAACACTTTCTGTGGCCACTGAACTGTCAGTCAAGCAGATGTGGCCATAACATGTTGGTGGTTTGTCACTGATAGTTATTCAAGGGAAACTTGCCTTTTCAGTGTTTTTATTAAATATTCTATAGATTTAAAAATCATATTCAAAAAGGTGTTTTTCAGGTTCTTTTGCAACAGTAAACCCTGACCCTGCTGGAGGTCCCACATTTAGAATACACAGCTGGTAATTAGCAGAGCATTATGAACATAATGATCTAACGCGCTATGTATTTACACACATACACCTTGTTAACAGGCTGCAGGACAAGGCTGAACATGTGCAGTATTTCTACAGTGAGATTTCTCTGGGAGGCCATTGATTAAAATCCATCCATATAAAAACCCAGACTGTGAAGCTCTATGATGAACATCATGTATAATTAATTTCCCCAATTTTAAGACGGACAAAGAATTGAGCTCGTCATCTCAGTCTGGGTAGATATTATGTAAGTAATGTTGAATTAAAGGCTCATGTGGTATTTAAATTCAATAGAAACTAGTTAGTTGTGGCAGCTGTGGTGGTGTCCTGGCGTCACACTGAAACTCCAGATTGCTGGCTGATGATATTCTTGTTTGTGTGCCGTTTCCAAAAGCAGATCAATTACATCATTTTACCCACAGTTGAAAAATATTGTAATTACAACAAAGACACCTCAAGTCCAGCCATGCTAACATACAGATCAGCACACTGATCCAACCAAATAGTTCCTGGTTGCAACAGTAGTTGATGCTGAGGACTTTATTTTTAGTTATTTAGTCAATTAACAGAATATGAACCGCCAACTATTTTGATAATTGACTAACAATATGATTCATTTGTCAAGTAAAAAGGTCCAAAATATTGTTGGTTTAATTAAGCTTCTGAGGATTTACTCCCCGAGATATTTAAATCTTGACCAAAGTGGTGGACCAACCCACATTGCCATTCCTGAAGCGGCGCTGCCAGCTTGGAAAAAAATCTAAAAAAAATCTGCTGCGGTCTTATCCCTCCGAACCCGACCAAACACACGACTTTGAAGATTTGTTCAAGCTGAAAAGAGCGAAGTGAAACATTGGAACAATAGTGCCATCATTTTCTAAATGCCACAGTCAATTACAGCTTGTATGCAACATTAGCCCCCCAAAATAATTCTGCCTCCATTCTTCAGTGTCAATTTTCCTTTCAGACAATGAAAAAAAAAAAAAAAATGCCTCCGAATTTTTGTCTGTGACGCCCCCTGCAGTTAACCACTATCCGTCTGCTGCCTATTCTCCGAATTAATCACAAGAAACGGGTCATTACTGTCAACATACAGCAGAAGACTTCCATTACTACGGAGGGCTGCATTGTTATTCCATTCAAAATGTAACATCTTTATACAGTGGGATATTCCTAATAGTGCACTCCTCCTTGGAACCCACCATCTAATTTGCATGCATGACTCATACAATTTCTTAGTGTGCTGCTGAAGCAGAAAGCACGGCTCAACAGCGTCTGCAAAAAAACACGACACGACACTTTACTCCAAGATGGTGGCACCATCTTGGATGAGAGATTTCACCTTCATGCTGTCAAAAAGTTGTAAAATGAAAAGCAAATAAAAAAAAACAAAAAACTTCTGACACTTGGTCCACGTCATTTAGGAGCAGTATTACACTGCACCCACTTCAATACAAACAAATCCAATCACCACTCCACCACTTTTGGTCACTTTGTGTTATTAAAAGTCAGGTCCTCACTCCACCCAGTCTCCCTGACGCCACAATCTCAGTCAGGACTGCACAACCACTCCCTTCCCTTGTAAACTTAAAAGCTCATCTCCTCGAGAAATGCCTCGCGTCCCCTGCTCCCACTCGTATCACACCCCTTTTGTGCCACATCCTCCTGCAAATATGCTCCTGTCTAAATCTGATCTCGCTGTTCTGCCTCTAAGTTATTTTTCTGGCAGAGAAGGTCTCACATTACAGCAGTGTTTGCTCAGATCTATTATCAGGGCTCCATCAGCCTGAGCCTAAGCTAATTTTTTCTGCTGCACTCATCATAATTTGCTTTGGATAAGAGCAAGAGCTAAATACATTTAATGTAAAAGTAATGCAAGTGGAAGTGCTTTGTTAATTTTTTCTGTCTACAATGGTGCCAGTTACCAAGCAGGGCGTCTACAGGCTTAATGTGGATGTTGATGGTAGTTCGCAAAATCTTTGAGGACATGAAGCACAGTAATGATGCTGTTTTATGGAGGAGCAATATGTTAATTTGAATTACAAAAAATACAATCTCCAGCTTAATAGTTAGATTTTCAATCTACTTAATCATTTTGTGAACTTTTTGCAACCTCGTTTGTGTACGGTTCGCTGCTTTAAAGTAGTCCACACTAAATCTATCTGCAGACTGTCAAACGCTCACCCCCTGCAGGCTTGAAAGGCGACTGTAACATGTCTTCTTTTTTTTTTTTCTTCACTAAGAACAGCATCAGCTTTAAGTCGTGTCAGTTGCAATGGATTCCAACATTTTCACGGCCAAAGAAAGGATCAAGGCAAACATAAAATGTTTCAAACCACATTTCTCTGCTGCTTATGCATGTCCCCGGTATTGTTAGACTGGCTAAACACAAAGCTTCTCTGGCTATTTCCAACAGGAGCAGTGTATTTGCACATTTTACCCTAATATGAGGCTACCCATTTATCCCTATGCTCGATTATTATGGAGAGACTATTTTCATATCCTAGCTTAACAACTGTAACTAGGTATACAGCAAGTGTGTGAAGCTCTGAAATTCTCCACAGGTTGAAGCATTGTGCATGGGGCTGTGTGGTAAGAGCCGTTATTGCCTCAGCAAATCAGCCACATTGTAAGAAATGGATTGTGTAAGCGGCAAATGTTAGCATGCCCAGCTAACTATCTCACTACCCACAGTAGTAACCTTGTGTTACTTCCAAGGAAAAGAGCGAGCGTACACTTAGCTAATAACATTTTGTGTTTGTGAGGATGTACATTTACGTTTTGGACAATGCAGATTCAGGACCAACAGATCCACAGTGTGGGTTTAGGCTCATGTTAGTGGCTCTGTCACACTCTTTTTTTTGGCAACCTGGCAATACAAGAACAATGCAGCTCCTTTATTTCTTTGTAGATCTTCAGCTGGTGAGGATGCTGACTTTGTATCTGGGATATGTAGCTTTAACCTCGGTCTGATGTCAGTACAATATAAAGGAAGTTTTCATTTTAAAACAAGTCAGCTGAAAACTGAAAACCAGCCCACAGTGATATCAAAGACAGGGGTAGCAACAGTAACTAAGGAGAGTGGAGCCTATTGAATTGTTACCCCCTCATTATCATTAATAAAATACCCCGTTATTACACTGGTATATTTCTGACCATTATCACCTTGTTACAGAAATAAACCCTAACATTATCAAGTCACAGTGATTCCCTATTTCACTACATGAAATGCTCTCATTATTAATTTGTTACTACTGAGTGCTACTCTCACAAATGTATTTCTGAAAAGTATTTTACGATCCCTATAAACAATCAATCGTGAGAGAGACACAGTATATATTAGTTTGCAGTCCTTCTCTGAGAGATGTTGCGCCTGAAGGCTGGTGAACAAACTTGACACCAGAGGATTCAAAAAAGAGGATATCAAGCTGGAAGGACTGAGATCTGGAGAACCATGCATCAGTCATGCTGTGAGTCATCACTGCAAGCTGGATGTGGGGATATGATGAGGTAGGGTGCATTTTCATTATAAACATCGTGCTCCTTAATAAAAGCTGACTGACATTTGAATACCACTAGATATAAGGATATGATAGGAGCCCAGCATCGTTCTTTTCCTTTAGCAGGGTACCGCAATGAAAAGAACA